GTACTATTTCCGGAAATCGAACATTTTGTAAAAAAAATCTATGAATTAGTCCATTTTGCAAAAACAAAATTATTTTTGATAATATGCACCTATTCCGGAAAAAGGACATTTTGAAATAAATGTTTTAATTTATAAAAAATTATATTTTATATAATATTTAAAAAAATAAAGAATAATGAAATGGTAAATAATATTAAAGAGTTAGTATTAATATAACACAATATTTTTAAACTTCATTTATATTTTTATTTTGTTTTTTTGTTATATTTACCTACCTTGGTAAAATTTCAAACAACATATTATTAATAATAATAATAATAAATAACATATTATAACTACAAAATATTATATAATAAGTAGTATCACAATACATTTTAGTAACATTTTAGAGTATCAAATAAAATAACTTTTATAGACTAGAAATAATGAGTTACCTACTATATAATAGTTTGTTTACCTACCTTGGTAAAATATCAAACAACATAATAATAATAGTAATAAATAACATATCATATTATAACTACAAAATATTATTTAACAAGTAGTATCACAATACATTTAATAACATTTTAGAGTATCAAATAAAATAACTTTTATAGACTTGAAATAATGAGTTACTATATAATAGTTTGTTTACCTACCTTGGTACAATATCAAACAACATAATAATAATAGTAATAAATAACATATCATATTATAACTACAAAATATTATTTAACAAGTAGTATCACAATACATTTTAGTAACATTTTAGAGTATCAAATAAAATAACCTTTATAGACTAGAAATAATGAGTTACTATAAAATAGTTTGTTTACCTACCTTGGTAAAATATCAAACAACATAATAATAATAGTAATAAGTAACATATCATATTATAACTACAAAATATTATATAACAAGTAGTATCACAATACATTTAATAACATTTTAGAGTATCAAATAAAATAACTTTTATAGACTAGAAATAATGAGTAACTATATTATAATAGTTTATTTACCTACCTTGGTAAAATATCAAACAACATAATGATGATAATAATAATAAATAATACATTATAACAAAGTATATAATATTATATACCTACTTTATATTATATAAAGAAGTATAAAAATACATTTTAGTTATATTTTTGAGTATCAAAATATAAAATAATAAATTATCAACTAGAAATTAGTTGCCTATTTAAACATATTAGGTTGTTAAAGTGTATCTTCTTCATACTCTTGGCAATCTTCTTCAGCTGATGGTTCAGTGACTACATCATTTAAAATATCATTATAAAAATCTTTAGCATCTGGTGGTATGTTGAAATACTTTAATAGTTTTTTTACATCATCCCTTTTCTGTGGTTTTACATGACTAGTTTTAGGTAGTTTTTCAACTAATCCTAAATTTTCCAAATTTCCATTTTTTTTTAGTACAGGAACTCTAATTGGTTCTCCTTCATATGTCTGAGAAATACCAACAGTCTTTTTTCCTTGGATATAAGAAAACCGTTTTTGTTCAGTACTTTTAAACTCTGTTTTTTTAATAATTTTTTTAGCTGCTTCTTTATAATCCATAATAGAGTAATCCTTATCAAAAATTTTGATAGTAGTGTATTTCTTAAAAACATTATAATATTGTTCAGGAGAAATTATATTTTCCATTTGTCTAAGGTCTTTCTCTATTCGACCGAAAACTTGGTCAGGGGGCATATAACTATGCCCACGAACTGGAAAATAATGGTTGATTTCTTTAATAATTTTGGCTTTAAAGTTAACAAAATGTAATAATGCAATCATTACATATTGGTTCTTATTTTGAGCCGAACAGGAATCAGAAAACAAGTTGATAATAGTAGGAGGATCATTTTGACTTTCAAACTTTGTGTCAATAATTTCTAAAAAATCAATGAGCGCAGATGCAACTTCATTTGGACCTCTCCCACTTTGAGTTTCAAGCCATGTGTACATATAACAACTATCAGAGTTTTGTTTTTCTGAGTTTAAAACAAATGTAAGATTGTAGAGCCATACTTGCCTAGAATAAAAGGTATCAGTCACACTTAGTTTTGGCAGGGGCTGATTTTGCATCATATCAAAGCTGATGTTAATAATTGATTTATTGTCTGTTTGTTTCATGAGTTTATGAAAAACCTTGCTACGCTGTTTATGGGAACTTAAATTTTCAATCAAATCAAATTTAGTATTTTCGTCAATTGCATTTTTTATTTTTATTTCTTCCTCGGTACAAAAGCTACAAACGTCTTGACGGGGGTGCCCAAATCCCAAATTGAAGTTATTAGTAAAAATAGAATAAAACTTACTGAAAGAAGCAACTGGTGCATTATTTATTATCATTTTATTTTTCCAAAGTAAAAACATTTTACTTACTGATAATCCAGGTGGAAGATACGAACGACCTGTATCTGCCCTTGAATAATGGCTTTTCTTAGCTTTAAATAGGGTAATATGTTCAATTATAGATGCTGTTACTTGTTGATCATTTGGATTTTCATGTTTACCTCCACGTTTCTCTTTTGGGCTGCATAAGTCAAGTTGAAAGTTTTTAGCAATTATATTCAAACGTTTTCGGGATATAGAAGTTATTGAACTGAATACTGCAGCACATACAGGAATTTTCCCTTCTTTGGTTGGAATATAATATTTTACTGAGTTTCGGTCTATTGAATTATTTCTGGTTTCATTTATTTTTCGTCTATCAGTTCTTAAAGGTTTTTTTACAGTCATCAATGATATTATAAATTTATCCTGGTCTATTTTAGATTCTAAAGAGCGTAGGTTTTGTTTAAAAAGATCCAAACATTGAGCATCAATCTCAGACACTTTACAAAATGGTTTACTTTTATCTTTATGGATACAATTAATAATTAAACCAGGTTTAATTGAATTTCTGTTGTATTGATCAATTTTTCTTTTGTTTATTTTTTGCTTTTTTCTTCCCCCATTTACAATTTCAATATTTTCTGAATATTCAGGATCTAAAAACAATTCTTCCATGTTTTCTGTGGATGGATTAGCAACTTCAAGTTGTGGAACAACAACTATTAATGGTGGCTGAATTATATCCGAAGACCATTCTGTAGGATGAATTGTCTCAGATGGAATCTCTTTATTTAAAACTGTATTTGAATCAGTAATGTTATCACCATCAATCAAGAATTCAATATTATTGAGATCCAAATAATTATCTGAATCATTCTATGAAAACAAATCAATATAAAATAAGTTGTTTTATATAAAATATTATTATGTGAACAAAAAAAAACTATAAAATAATATTATATGATAAGAACAAAACTAGTACCTACCAAAAATGCTTCAAATAGAGAAACATATCACTACAGTATATTAAAATTACCTTGTTTTCCCAAATTAATTTAGATTATTAATTTGAAGTAGATATTTTTTTTCCATTATTAGTTATAATAATTATAACCATTATAAAGTAGGTAGGTATTATGTAGGTAATTTTTGCATTTTGCACCCTACATGTCTATATATATATTAAGTACTTTCTGTGGTAATATATTGCTTTAGTATTTTATCGTTATGTTAAAATTTAAATTTTGATAGTAAATAGATACTATTATAATAAATAGTTTAGTTTAAATGATTAACATCAACTTACATAAATCTGACTGTCTCTATCTAATCGTTCCATTTCCATATCTGCCAAGGTATTGTCCACAGTAAAACAATTATTATTATTAGATTCATCATTTGAGGAAGAATTAAGCCAAGTCTGTACTTTATCCTAATTTTATAACACATTATAAACATTATACAAACTGTATCATATAACACATCTATACATATTATAATATATAAACAATATTAAATTACCTGTAGATAATCATTATTCACTTTAGTATTTGAATTTATTATGTTACCATAAGTTAAACATTTAGGTTCAAATGCCTGAAACAATAATAAATAATAGAGCATTAAGTAAATCATACATTTTTCAAGTAGGAATACTTTCATAAAAATGTACATTACAAAAAAACATATAAGTTTGTTTACTTACTGAAGTCGCTGCATTAAGCATTTTATTTATGCGTGATCTTCTCATTGTGATTGTGGCAGGTAATGAGGAAAATATTATAAAATATAAGGTAATATTTTCTTAAAAATATAACAAAGAAATCATTTCAAAACATTAAAAAGGAGATTATTAATTACATTTTAAGTTTTAACAGTAGAATATAATATTTATATCATGACAAAATACGAGCACATTTCTAATCAGCAATACGTTTTTGGAGGGAAATGGTAACATATCTCACATTGTAATGAAGTTAGTAACGAGATAGATACATTTTATGAAAATTTGAATTACGCAGAATTTTAAATAAACGCATGGCACAAATATAATTATCAACAATGAAGTTTAAATAATTAAACAAACTTAAATTTAAAATTAATTTACATAAAAGTATAGTTAAAAATTATAAGACCGTTTTGGAAAAAAAATATTTAATGACAATACAAATACATAGGAAAAGGAGCGTTTTGTTTCATTATGGAAATAGACCTTTTTGACAAATAATGAAGGAAATAGTACGTTGTGCAGCGAATTTCCATATATAGTACACTTTTAACGTTGGAAAAGGTACATTTTGAAGTAAAATGGAAAAAGGTTGTTTTGCATTGAAGGATATCATGGAAAAGGAACGTTTTGCAGAAAACGCAGTTTTTCTACCATCGTTTTCTTAAGGAAAAAGACCGTTTTGGCTTATAATAATACGACCATTCGATTCCCCGTGCAATTTACCATATGAATCAATGTATAACTCAATTTTCTTAAAAATGGAAAAAGTACGTTTTGCATTGAGGCCCCTCAAATAATAAATATATAAATTATCGTAGCTAGCGCGCGAAATTTATCGAAAAAACAAAAAGCCTCCTCAAAACCGTGCGCACCGCGCAACAAGCACAATCCACTGACCATACAACAGCGTAACGACCACATCGGTAAACAATTTTACACAATGTCGGAAAAAACGTTACAGCAGTTGTCGTCGGCGGAGCTACGTAGCGAGTGCACGGCCCGCGGCCTCAGCGCATCCGGGACGAAGTCGGATGTGTACGTCCGGCTAGAGGAGCACCTTAGGGCAAGCGGACTAGTCCCCGAGAATGTGAAGTTCGTAACAGTGCAGCCTGGAACCGTAGGATTCCAGGGCAGTACTGAACAACAACAACACATGACATCAACGCTGGAAAACACGAACGCCAGCCAGATTTTGGGGACAACCGCCTGGGGGAATTTTGACAAGCCCAACAGCAAGTCAAAAACCCACAGACAACAGGCCAGAAATCGGCGGCTTCCAGTCGACCTTGCAGCAGGGCCAGTCCGCACAACCTTTAACAACCGACATTTTCGAAACCGCGGCGAAACAACTACATCAGTTAAAATCAATGTTGCCACAAACGAACGACTCAACATCGTTCGAGGCACGTTTAGGCGCGTTGGAAGCGAGCATGACGCGGTTCTTCACAGAATCGCGCCAGGCAACCACCCAACCGCCAAACAGTGTAGCAACCCCGCGGTTAGATAACCACCCGTCACCCGTACAGATACCAAATCGTACACACGATAGTCACCAGTCGGGTAGGTCATATGAGCTCAATGACGGCGGCGCTCAACACAGCGCCAGCCACATTGCCGACGCGAACAACCGACAGTTCTTCGCGCGCGAAACTAATGACTATACGGGTCACACCACACGCGCGTCACAATACGCGCCGTACGAAGCACGCGCGCATGAACGCTCGGTACTAATACCGTACGACGACTTGCGCACAGCAAGAGCTTCGTTACCCGAGTTCACAGGAACAAGGGCCGAGGACCCCGTACGGTACATTAATAATACCGAGTCGATTTTGGTGCAAGCTCGTATACACCCCTCGGGTTGGTGCAGGGCGGTCGAGCCGCAGTTAAAAGGAACGGCGAGTGTATGGTACGCATCCATAAAAATACTCGACCTATCCTGGGAAGAATTTAGGGTTGAGTTTTTAGAAAATTACAACAATTCCGAAATCCAATCCCAACTGCGCGCCGACATCGTGTCAACACGACAAACGTCTAGACAATCTCTAACGGAATTTGTGCTAGTTAAAAACCAGCAAGCGCGCCGCGTAAATACCGGCCTATCCGAGTCGGAATTGGTAGGTATTATAGCAGGATTAACGCGCGACACTTTCCGAACACACATCCGTCTACAACGGCCATTGACGTTCAACGAGCTACGACGCATCGCAGGCGTTTTGGACCCGGTAACGGACAGCACCAAACCGACCCCCCAACAATGGGCCCCAAAACCCAAAAACCGGGCGGATACCCCACAAACAGCCGCCCCGGTCAAAAAAATTTTTTTTAAAAAAACAACAGATGATCACCCACCGGGGCCGTGCAGGTATTGTGGGGAACTCCACTGGAACAGTAAGTGCCCACACAAACCGACCACGTCGGGAAACGGCGGGGGAGTCGACGGGGACTAGTCCCCCCCATCGACTCAACACCACCCCCTCCACCCATCACCAACCACTATCGGTAGTACACACGGAAAAAAAACACGTAATCGAAAAGCGCGTAGTTCGGTAATTCAACACACAGAAAAACCAACTACGAAAATTTTTTCCGTCTCATCACCAATCGGCACCCGTTCACAGACCCCCAACCTACACCACCCCACCACAGAACACACTCACCTCACCGGTGACACGTGTGTTCAACAACAACCGGCTCATGGGGCAGCCACAGGTGTAGGGACAAAGGCAACAGAGACATGGGTGTTGCACAGGTGACGGGGATACAAGCACACACACCACGCTTACCCCCGCATTAGGTCAGTCTGCGCACGTAAAGCAAGAGGCGAGCAACGAGGCAACCGACGTTGACAGTATGGTCATGGCGGTTGACACCGACGACCAGACAGTTCCCGTCGCGGTTCAGAACCAGTTGTCCCGCTCACCAGATTGCAATACGACTAATAATGGTATACGAACACGCCCAGACAAAATTCCGACCCCCGCGGTCGAACTCGAATTTCCGTCAGGTTTCGTAACAGCCCTATTAGATTCGCAGGCGCAAAAATCGTATGTAAACCCGACAGTAGCCCGTAAATACGGCAAAACACCTCCCCACGGACCAACAAACACAGTCCGGATGGCGGACGGTCACACTGCAACAACCAGTGGCACCTCCACATTCGAAGCTAGGATAGGTACACTCGATATAAAATTCGAAGCTACCATCCTAGACAATTTGTAATGCGACGCGTTACTAGGACACGACTTTCTTGTAAAGAATGAAGTCTCTTGGGATTACGCCGCATGCACAATTCACATGGGTAGGCAAATTCGTACGTCGACATGCTGGAAAGGGAAACCACAACCACCCGCCACTCGTCCCGACTTGTCACAATTACAATTTGGAAACGACCCCGAAACTCGCGCGAAACTAACCAAGATTTTAAACAAATACGCGGTAGTATTCAGCGAAAAAGTAGGACGTACCAAACTAATTGAACACGAAATTTTGCTAAAAGACCCGTCCCCAATCGCGCTCAAACCATACCCATATCCACAGCAAAAACAAACCGCTATCGATGATATGGTGCGCGATATGGAACTCCAGGGGCTCGTAGAACCTAGCACCTCACCGTGGGCCGCACCGGTAGTATTGGCAAAGAAAAAAGACGGAACTTTCCGTCTCTGTGTCGACTACAGGCGGCTTAACGACGTAACGGAATCCGACGCGTACCCTATGCCAGATCTCAACAAAATGATTAGGCAAATGAGGGGCGCGAAAATTTTCAGCATTTTTGACCTTAGGTCGGGGTACTGGCAAGTTCCACTACACGAAAATGCGCGAAAATACACGGCTTTCCGGACACGTAGAGGTCTATTTCAGTTCAGAGTCCTCCCCTTCGGTCTAAAAAATAGTCCAATGACTTTCGTGAGACTCATGAACGAGGTCATGAGGGGGTACCAGGATGATTTCGTACAAGTTTACCTAGATGATATTGTAGTATTCTCAAGGGACGAGTACGAACACCAGGCCCACCTAGACAAAGTTCTCGAGCGCCTCAAGAGATTCGGATTAACGTGCAACACAAAAATATGTAAAATCGGTCTTCGCGAAATTTCATTTTTAGGGCACATAGTAGACTCGGAGGGCATACAAAAACAACCGGAAAAATTGGTATGCATCGATAATTTTCCGGTTCCCAAAAAAGTTAGGGACGTACGTAAATTTCTGGGCGTGTGCAATTGGTACAACCAGTTCGTAGATAATTACGCGGATACCATAGCACCCCTCACTAATTTATTAAAACAGGGGGTTCGGTGGAAATGGACAGATGTAGAACAACGCGCGTTCGAATCAATAAAAAACGCGCTAGTCACATCGCCGAAATTGTCCCCACCCGATTACAGCAAAACGTTTTGTCTCCAAACCGATGCAAGCGAAATAGGAGCTGGCGCGGTACTCTTCCAACGGGGTGACAGACCGGAGGAAAGACGCATCATATCCTACGCAAGCAAAAAGTTTAGCGAGACACAGACGAGGTACGCCGCGGTAGAACGCGAGTGCCTAGCAGTAATTTGGGCAACGGACAAATTTCGGCCATACCTAGAAACCCGACGTTTCGAACTCCTAACAGACAACTCGGCACTGACATGGTTACACAGGGCTAAAGACAAAAATTCAAAATTAACACGTTGGTCACTACAACTAGCTAATTTAGATTTTAGTACGGTACACGTCCCGGGAATACAAAACGAAGCACCCGATTTGTTATCCCGCGACCCGGCACCGGGCACACCTGTAGACGAAGATCGACTCGAGGAAAAATTGGTAGGGGCACCTGTAACGCCGACAACCAATGTTGACCCCGAGTCGGATCGCATATTCTCCATGTTCGATAACCACGACAGTGACGACACACCACTCACCGCGTCGACGCTCGGAAAGTGGCAGTCCGAAGACGCCGAGATCCGCGACATAGTCGCCGGTCATAAGTGGGACGGACCAACGCGAAACACTAGGAGCACAAAATCGGGAACAAACACATATGTTTTCTCCGACGGTCTCTTACGCATAAACGTAGGCCCCCACACACCCGTCGTGATACCGAAAACAAAAATACAACATGTAATTTGGAGGTGTCACGATCACGTCTTATCCAACCACCCGGGTTGGAAAGAGACGTACCGGGCGGTTCGACAACGGTACTATTGGAAAAGTCAAAAAAAATGACGTCAGGTCATATGTAGGTGCGTGCCACGTATGTGCGTGCACGAAACCACTAAACTCACGTCCCACCGACCCAATGCAACCAAGAACCCCCCGGCAACCATGGGAAGTCATCAGTGTCGATTTAATGGGCCCATACCCACGTTCCGGTAAGGGAAAATCGTACATACTGGTAGCAACCGACTGTTTTAGTAGGTGGACCGAGGCTTACCCCTTAGGAACAGCAACCTCAAAAACAATAATCGAAACGTTGGAGCGAGAGTTCTTTTCGCGTTTCGGTTACCCCCGCGTGTGTCTCAGTGATAACGGCCCACAGTTTGTGTCAAACGAAATGATAAACGCACTAGAACGCTGGGGGGCACAGGGTTGGACGACCCCAGTCTACCACCCGAGGGCCAACCCAGTCGAACGCCGTAATCAAGATTTAAAAAAAGGTTTGCGCGCACAACTAGTCGACGGCAAACATAAATCTTGGGACACAAAACTACCCTCAATTCTTTTTTCGATACGGAACAGGTGCAACGAACAGACATGCTACCCACCCGCGGTCCTTGTCCTAGGCAGGGAATGCAAGAGACCCGGAGATTGGGCGCTATCTAAAATTGCACCGGTAAATATCGAAAAATCACAGGAAGAGAGGGTAGAGCGGGAAAAACGTATTATAGGCAAAAAGGTAGTGGTAAAGCCTAGCACGAACACCGGCACACCGGTGAAGTTCGGCAAGGGCGACGTAGTCTACTACAAAGCACACCACCTATCTAAGGCACATAAAGATTTTCATGCCGGGTTCGCACCAAAGTGGTGGGGACCGGTAAGGCTAGCGAAGCAGGTCGGTAAAGGAGTCTTTCTAACCGACCAACAACCGCCGCGGAAAATACATGTGTCGTGTCTAAAACGCGCGCCCACAGGCCAAAATAAATAAACATTTGTCTGTACTGTCGTATATTGTAGACAGTCGTCAAAATATTATTTCATATATGTAATAGAGGTGGGAACATTTTAAATTGTAAACTATTGACATAGGTCAGTGAAGCATATGTGCTGAGACAGCGATAAGATTACTATATAACACCGCCGCACGCGCAGGCACGAGAGAGTCCCGTTGTCGCTGAGTGAATCGGCGAGGACGTAGGTACTGTGGTCGTACGTGTGAAACGTCGATCGTAGTACGGGCTAGGCAATCCGGATTTGCTAAGTTTTAATTTATGTTTGTTTTAATATAATAAAAGTGTTTCCGACCTAAAAACCCGAGTTGAGTTTTATTTCAAAGTCTTCTTCGTTCTTACCTTTAATATTGGA